ATTTTTAATTTTTAAAATTTATTTATTTTTTCATATTCACAATCTTCATGTTAGAAATTACATATTCTTAAAAATTAAATTTAAAAATCCATCTCAAAAATAGATTTTTAAGACGTGACTCATTTCTTCGTGGACTCCTAAAAACCGTGGCCCTTTTAAGAAAATGATTACATACTAAAAATTAAATCCAAAAGTCCATCTCAAAAACAGGTTTTTAAATAGTGACTCAGTTTTTCATGGACTCCTAGAAACCGTGCCCTTTAAGAAATTTGGGTTAAAACCAGGGGTATTTTCATCCTAATGGACTCCACTTCGTAAGTTAGGGGGTGGTTGCAAAACTAAAAAGTTTAAGGTTAGGAGTATGATTTATAGAGCATGGGAGGGGGGGCGTTGGGCTGCAAAACTGAAAGTTCTAAGGTTAGCACTAAGATTTGGAAATCGTAGGTCATATAGATAGAGGCCTAAAAAAATTGTATGGTCTAGATCACATAAAATAAAATAAATATGTTATAGCACACCATATTAGTTCACTTAACACACAAACTATCAATTTCTAGTATTATCATATTAAGCTAAACTTTTGGGAGGTTATACTTCTCATACTCACACCACCTGTATAAATTATGAAAAATTAAACCTAAATACCTATGTAACTCCACATTATAGTAATGTTCTACATTACTTAGTATTTCAATTTTATATTTAGGTTTTATTTTTTGATATGTATTAAATTGAGCTAAATTTTTGGGTGTCTATACTTCTCACCCTCACACAAGTAAAACATATATAAAAATGTTATATCAAAAGAAATAAAATAACCAAAACACTCACGAAACTATAAGAGGTTGATAAATTTATTTCATGGGTGTGGTTTGAATAAGGTTGAAACCTTATACAATCAAAGTAAGGTGTACCAAAAGAAGTAATTTTGAAGTCAAAAATTCTTAGGATGGCCTGATAATCTATTTTTATTTCTAATTATAAAATTTAAGATTTAAAAAATAGTTCAAATCAAGTAGATCTATGGAATCTTGAAAATGAGCTGTCAAGATAGTGTTTTAAGATTAATATTTTTGGAACTCAAAATCTTCTTCTTTTTTTTTTTTAATAGGAAAAATTACATATATATTGATTGTAGTTTCCGTTATAACCAAAATACCACATAGTTTCTATTATTACTGAAATGTTCATTTTTTTCACTTTATAATGAAAATTTTTAAAAAGACTATTTTATCCTTTTTTCGGTTTTTGAACAACCGAAAATGGCTGGATTTTCGGTTGTTCAAAATCGAAAATAAGCTAATTTCGGTTCTTGAACAACCGAAAATAGTAGGGCTCGTTTAAACTTCTAGAATACGCAGTTCTGTTTTCGGTTATTCAACATCCGAAAATATCATATTTTCGATTGTTTAACATCCGTAATGTCCTATTTCTGGTTGTTGAACAACCAAAAGTAAGAATGCAAATTCCAAGCTTCTGTCCTATTTCCAGTTGTTCAACAACAAAAAATATGGTATTTTCGGATGCTGAACAACCGAAAATATGACATTTTCGGATGTTGAACAACAAAAATAGGACTGCATATTCCGACAAGCTTCTGGAATATGCAGTCCTATTTTTTTCGGTTGTTCAACAACTGAAAATAAAAAAGTAAATTCCAAGCTTCTGCCTATTTTCGATTGTTTAAAACCCGAAAAAGGGTAAAAAAATATTTTTTTAAAAAAAAATTGTTATGAAGTGAAAAAAATGGACATTCCAGTAATAACAGAAAGTATTAGGTATTTTGGTAATAACGGAAACTACAACAGATATATACGTAATTTTCCATTTTTAATATTCATATATCTCAACGTTGAGATGATCAATTAGAGGGTTTTCCAATGGAACTAAAATAGTTCCACCATGATTCCACATTTAATGTTTCCTCATTTTATTAGAATTATTTTATTTATTATTACATAAAGGAAAAAGTTTATATAGAGCTGAGGCTCTAAACAATCAAATTAGAGCACACCTCAAAAATTTCACTAGAAGATGTTGTTTTGATGCAAAATATCCTCAAATTGATTATCTCGACATCAAGATGCATGAACATGAGAAAAAAATGGATTTTTAAGTTTTGAAATAATGCATCTTGTAATGCATTTTGGGACCGTTAATTTTCAAGATTTTCAAGTTTTCATATATCTGCTTGATCTACACTTTTTTTTAAGCTTTAAATTTTATAATTAACAATGAAAATATATTGTAAGGCTATTACAAAGAATTTCCATTATTGAAACTACATTTCTCGATACTATTTGAAAGTGTATTTTTACTTTGATTGTTTAGAGCCTCTGCTTTATACAAACCACTCATACAAAAAGATATGGAAAATATTTTCAAAACAATAAAATAATCTAAAAAAAATAAATCCACCATTCTCATTTTTCTGGAAATTAGGTGCTTCACGGCTTGCGGAACTCCGCATTTCACAAAACTGAGAAGTATGGCTTTCCAATTCTGATTTTTAATTATAGAAATCCTGAGATTTACTATAAGTTTTTGAACTTTCTAGTTCTGACAAATAACTTTTTGGTTGTCAAACAACCCTATTTTCAAGTAATAAACAAAATTTACAATAGTAGGATACAATTTCTCAAACAAATTATCAAATAAACGAAACTAAATTTACAAAACTTCATGATATACTGCTAAACATGGGGGGACTTGAAAAATCCGATGCCTATTTTATAGGTATTCCACTCCCCAAAAAAGAAGGCTTTTTGTGAGCCAAATGTGCCCTAAAGTGAGAGACTTTTTTTTTTTTTGTACCTTATTGAGCTCCTTTAAGTTTTGTTATGGATTTCTTTCCAAAGATAAAATGTTGGAAAAATTATAAAAAGCCCCTCGGTATATACTTCTTATGTAACTTACCCCCATCCAAACATTTTCTCACTTTTTTCCCCACAACAACCTTTTTTCGCAAAAAGCCCCTCAAGGTAAAAAGTTGTTATATTTTGGATGGAAATGCACTTCCCGTACAAAAAAAATCAATTGACGCTGACTATCGGTCCCAAGTAGCGTATTGTCGGAGCGTAGTATACAACTGCCGGAGCGAATTGTCTAAAACATACTGCCGGAGCGCGTATGTATCGAGCGCCGAAGTGCTTTGTAAGGATTGTCGGATCGTTGTGCACACTGCCAGAGCACATTCATATACTGCTGGAGCGTTGAATACACTGCCGGAGTGCCTATAGACTGCCAGAGCGAAATGTCTTCAGAAGGTGTACCAGAGCGCGTTCATATACTACCGGAGCGTTGAACATACTGTTGGTGCGCCCTATTACACCGCCAGAGCGTTGTGGCTCCAACACACTATCAACGCGCCCTATTACACTGCTAGAGCGTTGTGGCTCCAGAGCATATATTGCCGGAGCGTTTTTGGGACTGCTGGAGCACGTCGTCTCCATAAACTGTACTGCCGGAGCACGTCTTTGTACTGTCGGAGCGCGTCTTTGTACTACCGGAGCGCATTGGGTAAATTAAAAAATGGGAAACAGGACAGAGAAGGGCATGTGAAAAAAATGGTAGTTTAGCTTTTTTCTTATTCCTTTTGGGTTAGGGGGTTTTTTGCTAAGGAAGGTTGTTGTGGGGAAAAAAAATGGGAGAAAAACGTTGAATGGGGGAAGTTGCATAGATAGTGAATATTGGGGGATTTTTTATAGTTTTCCCTAAAATGTACTCTTGTGAGATCTCACCGTAAACTTACTCCCTTAGGCAAAAGAGCAACTTAGAAGGGTTTTTTTTGGTCTATAATTTTGTGATACACTATAAAATCATGAGATGAGTATCTTGAAAAAAGAATTATTTATATCTTGAGTTCCCAACTAATTGTCTTTCTTTCTTTAGGTACGTATAAGTGTGTCTGAGTTAACCATCCATCAGGGTTCATTGTTGAGCCCATATTTCTTTGTTTTGGTTATAAACGAGTTAACGAGACACCTATAAAATGAAGTGCTGCATTGTATATTTTTTGCTGATAACATAGTTTTGATCGATCAGACTAGAAGCAACGTCAACATAAAGTTAGAACATTGGATGGATGCTCTAGATTATAAAAGTTTTAAAATTAATCAGACTAAAACAGAATATATGAAACACAAGTCTAATAAACCACCTCATTGGTATAAGCGTAAGACCTCCGTTGGTGTGGTTCGTAGCATGGCTCATGTGTGCAAGACTTGTAATGAGTGAGGCCTTTGTGTAATGTGAGTAGCGGTTGGGTTTTAGTCTTAAGTGTGACGCAAGTGTACGTTAGTATCCTTGTCAAAAAAAAGAAGAAGAAGAAGGGCACGTTAGTATAATGCGTTGATAATCCAAAGCGATAAAAATAAAGAGCATTTGTCTAAGTCTGATTCGTTGCCCTTGTGTTTTCTAAAACTAGTAACAGAGCCCTAGAAAATTCTAACAATTGGTATCAGAGTGAGTTTGATCAGGCTATTGTAATTTATAGCGAGACACTGGAAGCCAGTCAATCAGGGACTGAGCTTCTTGGTGTTGAGATCAACATGCAATCGCACCAATTGCAGTGTACATAAGCAATGAGATGCTATGAAACCATTTGGTCAGGGACCGAACTTCTTCGTGGAAGAGATCGACAAACCAATTATGGTGTATATAGTAAGCAGTGAGATGCTTTGAAGCCGATCAATTGGAAATTGAGCTTCTTAGTAGAAAAATCGATATACAATCACACTAATCACGATGGCAGATCTTGTAGGATGCCGAGGAAGATAAAGAACATAAACATAGAGATAAATGATGCACAACTAGCGTCGCATGACAATGATGTCCCAAATGCCTAGATTTGGAGGTCGAAGATACACTAATTTGATTTCTATTAATCAATTATTAATCATTTGACTTAAATATATGGTACCTTTTAGGGAATTAAAAAAAATCATTTTTTTATTTTTTGCAATTTCAAAATTATCCTCATATATTTAATATTTTACACTTGTAGCCCATTTTTTATAGTAAATGATGTATTTTAATTTTATTCTTTTTTTATATAACCGATTAAGCTCAAATGTTGGGCATTTATCATAGCACAATTATAAAATATATTTAAAATTCAAATAAAAATTATCAAAATGCACCTATAATTTTTAAAAAATTAGAGGCATTTTGGTCATTTTATTAAAAAAAAAGTTTATAAAGAGCCAAATCTAAAAACAATCAAATTAGAACCCATCACATAAATTTCACTATAAGAGGTTGTTTTGATGCCCAAATATCTTCAAATTTATCATCTCGATATCAAGATGCATAGATATGAGAAAAAAAACAGATTTCAAGTTTTGAAAATAGTGCGTCTCATCGATTTTCAAGTTTTCATAGATATACTCGACCTACACTATTTTTTAAGCTTTAGAGTTTTATAATTAAAATTGAAAATATATTTTAAAGCTATCACAAAAATTTCCAATATTGAAACCACATTTCTCAATATTATTTGAAAGTGCGCTTTACTTTGATTGTTTAAAACCTCGGCTCTATACAAACCGCACCTTTTTATTAATGGGAAAAGTTTACATAGAGCCGAGGCTCCAAACAATCACATTTGAGCCTACCTCAAAAATTTTGCTAGACAAGATTGTTCTGAAGCCCAAAAGTCCTCAAATTGATCATCTTGACATCAATATGCATGGACAAGAGAAAACAAGTGATTTTAATTCTTGGAAATAATGTATTTTATAATGCATTTTTTGACCGACAATTTTCAAGATTTTCAAGTTTTCATAGATCTGTCGATCTACACTATTTTCGAAGCTTTAAACTTTATAAATAAAGATGAAAATATATTTTAAAGCTATTACAAAGATTTCTAATGTTGAAACAACATTTCTCGACACTATTTAAAGGTAGGCTCCAATTTGATTGTTTAGAGCCTAAGCTCTATACAAAATGCACCATTTATTAATTCTAGAATATTTTTTACAAATGTAAGATGACAAGTATAAACTTCTGGGCTTTATTCTGATGTATAGAAAAGAAACTAAAATTAAAATGTAATCACACGTTCAGAATGTGGGACTTGAATCTAAAATATAAAAATGACTTTAATTTTGATAATAAAATGGGGAACTTTTTAGAAGAATGGATTCTTCTCAAAAATTCATCTTCATTGGACAGATAGATAGCAACAAAATTTGGTATGAATGGGTAACCTGTGTGAGCATGAAACCCATGAATCTAGGTTTTACAAACAGATAGTCCAACCTGGGGATTTGCAATATCCTAGGTTGCATACAAGAGCTATCCAAACAGCATTGTCTCAACATCCAGGATTTGCATATCTCATTATCTGCATACCAAGGATATGAATCAAATTGAACATTCAATTATCTACGGGGCCAAACAACTCGTAAAAGAGTTTGCCCAGTTTGAACAGCTTAGCATCTCTTAAAAACTAACACTACGTTTCAATTTGATGCAAAACAATAACAAGATACAAGAGACAAAATTAGCCATAACCATACCCGGAAAAAGCTATTTTCTAGCCCCGATAACAGCCTCCAAAAAACCTGTTCGAGCTTATCAAAAAAATACGAATGTAGCATACCACCTATTTTGTTCAGAATAGAGAATATCATAAATATCCCTCAAGTAAACTTGGCACCTAACTTCAAACATGCTTTCTTATTCAGCCATCAAAAACTAGAATTACATTATCAACTATTAACATTCCTTGAAACAAAATCACAATGAGTTTTATGAAGCATCACATCCAAAGTTGAACATGCCTCTACTATCAGCCAGTCAAAGCTTCATATTTTTAGCTATGCTGGCCATTCAAAGCTTAATAAAGCGAACAAATGGAATACATGAGCCTATAGACACCACAAAACGGATACATACGCTTGGCCTCTTGGCCTTCTGTTTTGGGCTTAAAGGCCTCAGTGCTAAAATTCAAGACTCGAATCCATGCTACCCATACCAAAAAACTTCTAAAAAAAAAAGAACGATACTGAAAGTACACAATGAAAAAATTTACAGCCAAAATTACAGGCTATGTTCACCTAAAGCTTTCAAGATTTAGATGCATCTTTCTAGCCTTCTTTGACCTCACACTGAAAATGCTGATGAAATAACTCTCTATGCATATCTCCATAACTCTTGCTCTGCCTTAACTTCCTAAACTTCTTGAACCATCTTATCTGACTTTATGGCTTTAACTTCTTCATGCTCAACTTCACCATGAGTAACTTCAGAAACTGTTTTCTTTGCTTTACTCTCCTCAACTTCTTGAATCATCTCATCTGATTTTATCGCTTCAACGTCTACACATCCAATGTCACCATGAGCAACTTCAGAAACTGTTCCCACAACTCTTAAGTTCCTTAATCACAGCTATCTCATCTGCTTTTATTGCTTTAGCTTTTCAACCATATTGTCTGCTGTGCTACCAACTAACCCTTGACTAACTGAAACGATTGCACTATCCACCTTAATGTCTAGACTCATCCCATCAACCTTTTCTTCAGTGGAACCTTCTTCTACTGTGCATTTGAAACTGTTGCTGTTGCCCAAATCCTGCGCAATATCCCCAAGGAATGGCCTGACCAGTTTCCTTCGCTTGTTCTTTGAAGTGGTACCCTTAATTTCTCTCTCTATGGCTTCTTGATCCTCAGCAAACGCATTGGATCCATTCTTCTTCTTCTCCTGGACTTTGCTCCTGCGTTTGAAATTTGGATATGATTTAACAATGTTCTCTTGGACTTCTTCCATAACAAATTCAATTCCATCATCAACTAACTGGATTTCATCCCCATAATCAGTTCCGACATTAGACCATTGGGTTTCACCCTCATAGTCAGTTCCAACATTAGTTGATTGGGTTTTATACCCATCGTCTAGTTGGACTCGCAAGTTTAAGGACGGGTGTTTTTCATTACGCTTTTCACAATATCTCATTCTTGTCACTCTCCTCCTAGCAATCATTTCCAAGAGCTCACTCTCAGACAAATCAACATCTGGTGTATCAGCCCTCACATGCCTAGGCGGAGCATTGGATAAGCGAGAAAACACACTCTCTCTCCTAACACGGTTGGAAGGTGAAATTGACAGTGGAAAATATTCTTCATCAGATATCAAATGAGGAATCTCCAAATGAGAGTGCCTCAATTCATTATATCCATCACTCTGAAGTGATTCTAGAGTGGCACCACATGTGGCCACATGCACTTCACACTCACCAGAGCGTCCAAGCACACATGAGCCATTTAAATCAACAGTTTTCGCCTTAAGACTATGTGAAAGTGAACCTGTTAAGGTGTGATGACCAAAACACTGGTGTCCTGCTCGTCCATGGATTAAGCATGACCCATACATACATTCACGACCAGTAGAGATGCCATCCCCATACTTTGAGGGGAAATAACCAAAGCAATCTCCATCCATAGACGAAACTCTTGAATAGTGCAAGTCATCAGTACTTGGTATATCACAGCCCCAGGGTTTGCTGTTAAAGGCATCTCCATCCCTAGTGGAAATGCATGAATAGGGTACATTACCAATTCCTGGAATCTCAACACCCCATGATGTCCTTTGATATTCTTTTGCTAAAGCACTGTCATGATCCATATCAGAGTTAGTGGACTGACTAATGTAATCAGGGTTCAATTGGTCAGGGATACACCCATGAACAGGAGTAACCCGCCGAGTAGAATCTATTTGAGTTGTAGAAGGAACCTCACCAGGAAGAAATGGGACTTCATATTCATGCTCAAGCCTGGAGCCCTCAGCCTGAAGAAATGGTTGGGTGATATACCTCGGATCAAAGAGATATGACCTAGAGGAATCAGGGTAATGGCTAAGACAATAGTGTTCTTTTCCATCCTGAACAGTGGATAAATGTTCAGCACAATGGGCAGTTAAATGCCTACTTTCCCTAGACTCACTAACTAAAACCGACTCATATCCATCACTGCGGTTCCTTGGCTCATTGCTTAGGCCAATTTCCTGTCGTTGAAGGAGATTAGAGTTTATGACATTTGAACTTGTTAGAAATCTCCTTTCACTACAAGCATTAACTAGTACTGGACTCTCATTGAATCGGTTTCTCAAGTCAACATTCCCAAGATAGTTTGGTAATTGGAGATTAGGGTCCTCAACATCACGAGCTGTTACAGACCTTCCTCCTCCGGAAACACTAACTATAATTGGATTATTTGGATCATATGCATCCGTATTATTTCCCTCATCATCATTCAGCTCAAGATCCTCTGATAACAGGGGACAAGGCTCATTGGCACTACCTGCTATTGCAGGCCTTCCTTTCCTAGAAACCCTAACTTTTACCGGATGAGTTTCTTTGAAGCTATTCTTTCTTAGCTTGGGATCCGACATTGGTAGACAATCAGCCTTCTTTTCATAAAAGAGATGAATAAGCTCTTTAACCTGCAAGTCCAAAGCAACTCACTACATTTTGAATGCATTCTTTCAATTTACAGGAAATTGTACAGTTGTATAGTTAATTGGCCCAGAAGACATGGAGTCCAGAAAAGGACCTGTTCTTCAGACAAATACAGGAGGAACTTTTTGTCCGCATAATAACTCATTGCAGTTCGGAATTCATGTTCCTCAAGTACAAGGTGTGGCGAAAGCTTCTGAAAACGAATCTGGAAATATGCAGGTAAGGATAAAGCAAATGAAAATACAATGTAGAACTTCCCTGACCTTGTTAGAAAGATTTACTTCACGGAGAAGTGCATCATTATCCAACAACAATGAAAACACCATAACCTATTGTGACATCACCATCCACTGAAATGGGAAAGGAGAGAGAGACCCACCTCTGTGGTCATTTCAAAGATTAATGGGTCCTATTCCCTCTTCATCACTGCCCATAATTTCTGAGTAGGGCGATGACCCAATGGTTATTGAGTGTTCCATAGTCCATAGAAGTGGAATAGTATAGTATACTTTACCGAATTATGGAGTGGCCTAAAGAGGCTAGAAAATATCAGGATAGACAAGAGAGGGAGCCCAGTGCCCCTACCTGTGCTGAGAACTGTTTCCCTGATGATCTGAATGCATGGGGTACAATATCAACAGCGCCATCAGAAGACGCCCTAAATATCCCATACATCTTTCGTTGCTCGTGTTCAAAAAGAAACAAGAACATGCCAACTTTAATTTTTGAGACAAAAGATGCGTAGGCAGCGGGAAGGCCAAACAGGTTCCGTTTCAAACATTCTTTCATCGTCCATCGGTTGCACATGAAAATTGCACCCTCAAAATCAGAATCAATGCATTTGCCTTGGTAGAGCTCATCTTCAAAGCCCATGGGTGACCTCACTAGCAGCTGCCAAAAGTGTACAATCGTCAATTACGAAATCAGAGTCTCCCGACCCATGCCTCCTGTACCAAAAAAAAAAAGGCCGGAGATAAAGCCAGAACTATCGTTTCCTCATGCATCTGTACATGAAAATCGACTCCATACTGAACGTTCAGACTTTCAACCATCCATAACCGGGTAGAGACCAACTTTCACTCCAATGGTTTATCATTAAAAGCATTGCCACAAAATTCAAAGCAGAAATCTCTTCAGCAAAAAATTCACATGGATGTAAGACTTCCAAACCACAAACCCAAGATGTCAAAAAAGGGGATCACCGATCATATCAATTGCAAATTAACTAGTAAAAAGAATCTACATCGACTGTTCGACAAGTATAGAAATTAGGTATGATACCACTGGATCCAAATGATAATACTTCAGCATATGTGTCACACCCCAAGAATTTATGATACTGATATTCCTGAGATGTGACTGACAAAACATATATACATTGCTTGATAGGAAAAATATACAGTGGCGAATTCTTACAAAGTAACAAAAGAAAGTTTAAGCAAAACTACAATATCTTCCCAAAGTTGATCTTGACGAGGACTCAAATGAAACCGCAGTTATCCTGAAAAATGTTTACCATAGTTTGATGAGTTTGGCTACTCAGTAAGTGATCATCATAATCCTAAAAATAATCATGGTTGAAAGATATCAATATTTCCAAAAAAAAGATCTATTAACAAAAATGCATCAACAGTTTTACTTTCAATAAATGCATATTAAGTATAATCTGAATAATTGAAATGCACATAACACTTTAACGCGTCAATGCATAATTCAAAGGATTTCACAAAATACCCTACTGGCGTCCCAAGTAGGTCACCTATATACCCCATCAGCGTCGTGATAGGTCCACTTAATCCCTATCGGCGTCCCAGATAGATCCACTTAATCCCTGCAGGTCCACTTATACTTCACCGGCGTACCGGATGAGTCCACTTAATCCCTACCGGCGTCCCGGATAGGTTCACTTATACCTCACCGGCGAACCGGATGAGTCGACTTAATCCCTACTGACGTCCCAAATAGATCCACTTATACCTCACCGGCGAAC